CCTATTAAGTCATTTTTCCCAGCTAACCTGGAGTAACCGGTCATAAGGACTGAATGTGTACGGTTTAACAAGTTGAAAGGGTAAATGTGGACGAAAAAAAAACTCAGTGACCAAATGTGTATAAATCGAAAAATATATTACCTTTTTAAGTCATTTATCCCTTTAAATAACCTTTAAATATTCTTTGTGCATTCAAAAAGTAAAAGTCCAAGTAATTTGGCAGCAAGTGGGATGTACGATGCCTAGATTAGAAGGTTTCAACAAAACGAAATTCGGCACCAAATGCCGTCTTCATTATTCTCCAATATATCTGACTTGTTCTAGCTCATATTTTATACCACTAATATAGTCTCTATATATATCTTTCTATCACAAGTGATTCTCATCATATATAATCTCTTCTATATATTTGCCTTTCTACAATGTCTTCTCTTAGCTACAACGATCTATACCGTCTGTTCAAGAAATTAGACCAAAATGGAGATGACCTTGTGAGCCCCAACGAGCTCCAATGGCTTCTTGACACCATGAAAATCTCTTCAAGTGTCGACGAGCTACAATCCTTAACTGGGAAAATGGGTCTTAGTTTTCCCGAGTTTTTGGACTTCTATACAATCACAATAGAAGGAAAGGACACCGAGAAAGATCCAGAGAGTGATCTTTTCAAGGCTTTTGAGGTGTTTGATAAGAACCGTGATGGACTCATCTGTGATGAAGAGCTCCAGGAGGCGTTATCAAGCTTGGGATTATGGGACGACAAGGGCGATATGGATGTGAAAAGTATGATCAAAGCATATGATGCCAACTCTGATGGTTTTCTTGATTTCCAAGAGTTTAAGAAGATGATGGCTTAGACACATTGTTTTTTATTTTGAATGTAAATTTCATTCTTTTATTGTAATATATACATTGTTGTTTTGATTGAAACTATGAATCTATACATGTTATTCAAACCCTAGAAAACAAAAAGAAACGCATTTTGGTTATGTTAAAAGACATTTATTGTGAAGCAATGTCAAACAAATTAAGTTTGACCCTTCACTTCTTCTGCTGGGTTTCACCGACGCCAAGTGTGTTCTTGACACCATCATAAGCACCTTGAGCCATGTTGGCCACCTGCTCTCCGGTCTGTAATCAACCATCGAAAGTTTTTCATCATTTCAACCATCAAATCAAGAAACAGAAAGAGATCTATGGTTGGAAATTAATATATAACCTGCTGGAGGATGCTAGAGACCTCTTCCTTGCGGAGCTGAGCCTGACCGCCGGCCTCATTGGCGGCATCAGCAGCCTTGTCCTGGGCTTTGTTGGCGGTGTCCTTGGCTGCACCGGCTATATTTTCGGCTTTAGCCTACATCAAAACGAACATGTTAATTAATAAGCAGCGATAATGATCAATCTCGTTAATGTTAAGTTAGGTCAGCATATATATATATATATATATA